TCCCTCAGCCGCAGGTCAGTCCCTCAGCCGCAGGTCAGTCCCTCAGCCGCAGGTCAGTCCCTCAGCCGCAGGTCAGTCCCTCAGCCGCAGGTCAGTCCCTCAGCCGCAGGTCAGTCCCTCAGCCGCAGGTCAGTCCCTCAGCCGCAGGTCAGTCCCTCAGCCGCAGGTCAGTCCCTCAGCCGCAGGTCAGTCCCTCAGCCGCAGGTCAGTCCCTCAGCCGCAGGTCAGTCCCTCAGCCGCAGGTCAGTCCCTCAGCCGCAGGTCAGTCCCTCAGCCGCAGGTCAGTCCCTCAGCCGCAGGTCAGTCCCTCAGCCGCAGGTCAGTCCCTCAGCCGCAGGTCAGTCCCTCAGCCGCAGGTCAGTCCCTCAGCCGCAGGTCAGTCCCTCAGCCGCAGGTCAGTCCCTCAGCCGCAGGTCAGTCCCTCAGCCGCAGGTCAGTCCCTCAGCCGCAGGTCAGTCCCTCAGCCGCAGGTCAGTCCCTCAGCCGCAGGTCAGTCCCTCAGCCGCAGGTCAGTCCCTCAGCCGCAGGTCAGTCCCTCAGCCGCAGGTCAGTCCCTCAGCCGCAGGTCAGTCCCTCAGCCGCAGGTCAGTCCCTCAGCCGCAGGTCAGTCCCTCAGCCGCAGGTCAGTCCCTCAGCCGCAGGTCAGTCCCTCAGCCGCAGGTCAGTCCCTCAGCCGCAGGTCAGTCCCTCAGCCGCAGGTCAGTCCCTCAGCCGCAGGTCAGTCCCTCAGCCGCAGGTCAGTCCCTCAGCCGCAGGTCAGTCCCTCAGCCGCAGGTCAGTCCCTCAGCCGCAGGTCAGTCCCTCAGCCGCAGGTCAGTCCCTCAGCCGCAGGTCAGTCCCTCAGCCGCAGGTCAGTCCCTCAGCCGCAGGGCAGTCCCTCAGCCGCAGGTCAGTCCCTCAGCCGCAGGTCAGTCCCTCAGCCGCAGGTCAGTCCCTCAGCCGCAGGTCAGTCCCTCAGCCGCAGGTCAGTCCCTCAGCCGCAGGTCAGTCCCTCAGCCGCAGGTCAGTCCCTCAGCCGCAGGTCAGTCCCTCAGCCGCAGGTCAGTCCCTCAGCCGCAGGTCAGTCCCTCAGCCGCAGGTCAGTCCCTCAGCCGCAGGTCAGTCCCTCAGCCGCAGGTCAGTCCCTCAGCCGCAGGTCAGTCCCTCAGCCGCAGGTCAGTCCCTCAGCCGCAGGTCAGTCCCTCAGCCGCAGGTCAGTCCCTCAGCCGCAGGTCAGTCCCTCAGCCGCAGGTCAGTCCCTCAGCCGCAGGTCAGTCCCTCAGCCGCAGGTCAGTCCCTCAGCCGCAGGTCAGCCCCTCAGCCGCAGGTCAGTCCCTCAGCCGCAGGTCAGTCCCTCAGCCGCAGGTCAGTCCCTCAGCCGCAGGTCAGTCCCTCAGCCGCAGGTCAGTCCCTCAGCCGCAGGTCAGTCCCTCAGCCGCAGGTCAGTCCCTCAGCCGCAGGTCAGTCCCTCAGCCGCAGGTCAGTCCCTCAGCCGCAGGTCAGTCCCTCAGCCGCAGGTCAGTCCCTCAGCCGCAGGTCAGTCCCTCAGCCGCAGGTCAGTCCCTCAGCCGCAGGTCAGTCCCTCAGCCGCAGGTCAGTCCCTCAGCCGCAGGTCAGTCCCTCAGCCGCAGGTCAGTCCCTCAGCCGCAGGTCAGTCCCTCAGCCGCAGGTCAGTCCCTCAGCCGCAGGTCAGTCCCTCAGCCGCAGGTCAGTCCCTCAGCCGCAGGTCAGTCCCTCAGCCGCAGGTCAGTCCCTCAGCCGCAGGTCAGTCCCTCAGCCGCAGGTCAGGTCCCTCAGCCGCAGGTCAGTCCCTCAGCCGCAGGTCAGTCCCTCAGCCGCAGGTCAGTCCCTCAGCCGCAGGTCAGTCCCTCAGCCGCAGGTCAGTCCCTCAGCCGCAGGTCAGTCCCTCAGCCGCAGGTCAGTCCCTCAGCCGCAGGTCAGTCCCTCAGCCGCAGGTCAGTCCCTCAGCCGCAGGTCAGTCCCTCAGCCGCAGGTCAGTCCCTCAGCCGCAGGTCAGTCCCTCAGCCGCAGGTCAGTCCCTCAGCCGCAGGTCAGTCCCTCAGCCGCAGGTCAGTCCCTCAGCCGCAGGTCAGTCCCTCAGCCGCAGGTCAGTCCCTCAGCCGCAGGTCAGTCCCTCAGCCGCAGGTCAGTCCCTCAGCCGCAGGTCAGTCCCTCAGCCGCAGGTCAGTCCCTCAGCCGCAGGTCAGTCCCTCAGCCGCAGGTCAGTCCCTCAGCCGCAGGTCAGTCCCTCAGCCGCAGGTCAGTCCCTCAGCCGCAGGTCAGTCCCTCAGCCGCAGGTCAGTCCCTCAGCCGCAGGTCAGTCCCTCAGCCGCAGGTCAGTCCCTCAGCCGCAGGTCAGTCCCTCAGCCGCAGGTCAGTCCCTCAGCCGCAGGTCAGTCCCTCAGCCGCAGGTCAGTCCCTCAGCCGCAGGTCAGTCCCTCAGCCGCAGGTCAGTCCCTCAGCCGCAGGTCAGTCCCTCAGCCGCAGGTCAGTCCCTCAGCCGCAGGTCAGTCCCTCAGCCGCAGGTCAGTCCCTCAGCCGCAGGTCAGTCCCTCAGCCGCAGGTCAGTCCCTCAGCCGCAGGTCAGTCCCTCAGCCGCAGGTCAGTCCCTCAGCCGCAGGTCAGTCCCTCAGCCGCAGGTCAGTCCCTCAGCCGCAGGTCAGTCCCTCAGCCGCAGGTCAGTCCCTCAGCCGCAGGTCAGTCCCTCAGCCGCAGGTCAGTCCCTCAGCCGCAGGTCAGTCCCTCAGCCGCAGGTCAGTCCCTCAGCCGCAGGTCAGTCCCTCAGCCGCAGGTCAGTCCCTCAGCCGCAGGTCAGTCCCTCAGCCGCAGGTCAGTCCCTCAGCCGCAGGTCAGTCCCTCAGCCGCAGGTCAGTCCCTCAGCCGCAGGTCAGTCCCTCAGCCGCAGGTCAGTCCCTCAGCCGCAGGTCAGTCCCTCAGCCGCAGGTCAGTCCCTCAGCCGCAGGTCAGTCCCTCAGCCGCAGGTCAGTCCCTCAGCCGCAGGTCAGTCCCTCAGCCGCAGGTCAGTCCCTCAGCCGCAGGTCAGTCCCTCAGCCGCAGGTCAGTCCCTCAGCCGCAGGTCAGTCCCTCAGCCGCAGGTCAGTCCCTCAGCCGCAGGTCAGTCCCTCAGCCGCAGGTCAGTCCCTCAGCCGCAGGTCAGTCCCTCAGCCGCAGGTCAGTCCCTCAGCCGCAGGTCAGTCCCTCAGCCGCAGGTCAGTCCCTCAGCCGCAGGTCAGTCCCTCAGCCGCAGGTCAGTCCCTCAGCCGCAGGTCAGTCCCTCAGCCGCAGGTCAGTCCCTCAGCCGCAGGTCAGTCCCTCAGCCGCAGGTCAGTCCCTCAGCCGCAGGTCAGTCCCTCAGCCGCAGGTCAGTCCCTCAGCCGCAGGTCAGTCCCTCAGCCGCAGGTCAGTCCCTCAGCCGCAGGTCAGTCCCTCAGCCGCAGGTCAGTCCCTCAGCCGCAGGTCAGTCCCTCAGCCGCAGGTCAGTCCCTCAGCCGCAGGTCAGTCCCTCAGCCGCAGGTCAGTCCCTCAGCCGCAGGTCAGTCCCTCAGCCGCAGGTCAGTCCCTCAGCCGCAGGTCAGTCCCTCAGCCGCAGGTCAGTCCCTCAGCCGCAGGTCAGTCCCTCAGCCGCAGGTCAGTCCCTCAGCCGCAGGTCAGTCCCTCAGCCGCAGGTCCCTCAGCCGCAGGTCAGTCCCTCAGCCGCAGGGCAGTCCCTCAGCCGCAGGTCAGTCCCTCAGCCGCAGGTCAGTCCCTCAGCCGCAGGTCAGTCCCTCAGCCGCAGGTCAGTCCCTCAGCCGCAGGTCAGTCCCTCAGCCGCAGGTCAGTCCCTCAGCCGCAGGTCAGTCCCTCAGCCGCAGGTCAGTCCCTCAGCCGCAGGTCAGTCCCTCAGCCGCAGGTCAGTCCCTCAGCCGCAGGTCAGTCCCTCAGCCGCAGGTCAGTCCCTCAGCCGCAGGTCAGTCCCTCAGCCGCAGGTCAGTCCCTCAGCCGCAGGTCAGTCCCTCAGCCGCAGGTCAGTCCCTCAGCCGCAGGTCAGTCCCTCAGCCGCAGGTCAGTCCCTCAGCCGCAGGTCAGTCCCTCAGCCGCAGGTCAGTCCCTCAGCCGCAGGTCAGTCCCTCAGCCGCAGGTCAGTCCCTCAGCCGCAGGTCAGTCCCTCAGCCGCAGGTCAGTCCCTCAGCCGCAGGTCAGTCCCTCAGCCGCAGGTCAGTCCCTCAGCCGCAGGTCAGTCCCTCAGCCGCAGGTCAGTCCCTCAGCCGCAGGTCAGTCCCTCAGCCGCAGGTCAGTCCCTCAGCCGCAGGTCAGTCCCTCAGCCGCAGGTCAGTCCCTCAGCCGCAGGTCAGTCCCTCAGCCGCAGGTCAGTCCCTCAGCCGCAGGTCAGTCCCTCAGCCGCAGGTCAGTCCCTCAGCCGCAGGTCAGTCCCTCAGCCGCAGGTCAGTCCCTCAGCCGCAGGTCAGTCCCTCAGCCGCAGGTCAGTCCCTCAGCAGTCAGTCCTCAGCCGCAGGTCAGTCCCTCAGCCGCAGGTCAGTCCCTCAGCCGCCGGTCAGTCCCTCAGCCGCCGGTCAGTCCCTCAGCCGCAGGTCAGTCCCTCAGCCGCAGGTCAGTCCCTCAGCCGCAGGTCAGTCCCTCAGCCGCAGGTCAGTCCCTCAGCCGCAGGTCAGTCCCTCAGCCGCAGGTCAGTCCCTCAGCCGCAGGTCAGTCCCTCAGCCGCAGGTCAGTCCCTCAGCCGCAGGTCAGTCCCTCAGCCGCAGGTAACCCGCGCGTACCACCACACGCGCACTGGAGTGAGCATCAGCCACCCAGCTGATGCTCACTCCACTCCATTCACCATGGGTTCCCCATGCCGTTTCCCTTGTGCTGCTGTCCCGACGCACCTCTTAGCCCGCCTCATCCCTCTAGCAAGCAACCCTGCAGCCACCCTCATCGCTCTGGTTTGCCTTCTCACTACTCATCCCATGTCTGCATCTCTGTGCGCGTGCGCCTGTGTGTGGTGGGTGGGGGGGAGGGGGGGGGCTATGGGCGGCACATGGCAGGTCGTTTGAGCACCGGCTGCACCTGAGGGACTTGGAGCAGTGGATGTCGCAGCGAGACATTCCCCGCGAGCTACAGAGGTGCGTCTGTCTCTGCATGCACGCCCACCCACCCCTCGTGTGAGGGTGCCGTCATGGGGCAGCGGCGTTTGTTGGATGCGCACAGCGAGGGTGCATGAGTGGCGTGTCTTGTCCTTCCAGGCTGTGCCTGCGCCCTTCACCGCCCTTCCCTCGGGGCATCGCCCCCACTCGGGCCATTTCCCCCGCTCCACCGCCCTCCACACTGCTGCTCGCCGTCCGCCACCTCTTCTCACTCTCCCGCCCTCATCTCTCACCCCTCACCCCTCCCCACTCATCCCTCTCTCTCTCCTCACCCGTCCGCACTCGTCTCCTTCCCATCGCCCATTCCGTCCCATCCCTCATCTCTCACCCGTCCACTCCATCACTTCTTCCTGTTGCTCTTCTCCCTCCCCTCCACGCACCTCCCCTCTCTCAAATCTCTCTCTCCACCCCACCCCGCCCCACCCCACCCTGCCTCGCGTGGCGTGTGCGGCATGGGAGCAGGCGGGTGCGGGACCTGGAGCGGTATGTGTGGACGGTGAACCAGGGGGTCAACGAGGAGGAGGTCATGACGTCACTCTCCGAGGACATCCAAAGGGACGTGCGCCGCCACCTCTCCTACGAGCTCATCACCCAGGTAGGTACAGCTCCTGTCCATCCAATCCCCCCCGCCGAGTCTCCTCCTCCCCGTCCAACCTTCCACGTCATGCCTCCCTGCTCCTAAAGTCCCTCCCATCGCCTTATGCCTCCCCCACTCCCTGCCTCACCTGCTCCCCCATCCCGCTCCCCTCCCCTTCCCCCCCTGCGCGCACTTGCAGCACTGTGTGCTGCTGAAGGGCATGCCGGAGCAGGTGCTGGACGCCATCTGCGAGCGCCTGAAGCAGCGCCTGTACATCGACGGCACGCTCGTGCTGCGCGAGGGCTCGCCCGTGTCGCGCATGTTCTTCGTGCTGCGCGGCACGCTGCAGAGCTCCACCACCAACGGCGGGCGCACGGGGTTCTACGAGGAGGTGCTGCTGGGGAAGGGGCAGTTTGTGGGCGAGGAGCTGCTCGTCTACTTCATTGAAAAGTACGCCGAGGTCTCCAAGAAACAAAGCTCCCGCCGCTCCCTCCGCCGTGAGTCCCCCTCCACCCACTCCTGTCCGGCCCGCTCTCACCCCACTGCTGCACAGCCACTCCACCTGCTGCCATGCACTACCACAGCTGCCATGCACTACCACACCTGCCACTCATCGCTTGGTGCTGCATCTTCCTTGAACCCTTTCCTGCCGTCCTTCCCGGCCTGACTGTGGGGGGGTGGCAGGCGATGTGAAGGTGGGGTCGGCGGTGATGCCGGAGATGCTGCCCAAGTCCGAGCGCACCTTCTGCTGCATCGGCCCCGTCGAGGGCTTCTCACTGGAGGCGGCCGACATTGACTTCGTGTGCACGCAGTTCTTCACCGTCATGCAGTCCGACCAAGTGCAGCACGCCCTCAAGTACGCCCTCGCCCGCCCCCACTCGCACATACACTCTCACACACTGTACCGCCTTCCCATCCTCCATACCATTGTCTCCTGCTTCCCGCCTAGCCTCACTTTGTCTGCCTCCTCTGTTGGCTCCCCCACTCCCTCCCCGCACCCATCCCCCTGTACGTGTCTCCCCCCCCAACAGCGAGTGCTCGTTGAACCGGCGCATGCGGGCAGCCACCACCATCCAGGTGTGGTACCGGTCGGTGCTGCGGCGGCGCCTCAAGCTGCCCATCGACGTCATGCGCCAGGCCATCCGCACCAAGCGCATCGGCAACCTTCTGCGCTCCCTGCGCTCCCAGGCCTCCAATGAGGCCGGCTCTGGCACGCACCCAAAAGGGGGGGATGGCTCCGTGGGACGCGGCTCGGGCAGCGAGCACGGGTCGGCGGAGCATGGGCCTGGCAGGGGCAAGCAGGCGAGCCCAGACAAAAGGAGTGGCAGTGGCAAGGGGGGGCGGGTGGTGTTTGAGCCCAAGGATAAGGAGAAGGGGAGTGCGAAACGGGGCAAGGTGTACCGTGCGCTGAGGTCGCTGGGAGGGGGAGGCAGGACATCAGAGAGCCATGGCAGCGAGGAGGAAGACGAGGAAGGTGAGAAGAAAGAAGGCACAACTGCAGAAGCAGGAGGTGACGAGAAAGGTGAGAATCAAGTGGCCGAGGAAAAGGTTGGAGGTGGTGATGCAAACAGCGTACAGGAAGAAGGCCCTCCCAAGTGAATGTATACACGATTATAGCCTCAATAGGAAAAAAAACATAGAAATCATAGCAGTAGTTATTTATGCATAGCAATTGTTACGGTATTTATTGTCAATCCTGAAAATATGGATCTATAAATTTTGGGAGTGCCTGTATATGCCAACTGTTGTGTGAGGAATTAGGCAAAGCATACTTTTGTGGTCGTTGCCATACTTTTGTTGTCCCTCGCTACCAACGTTACACTTGTAAATTCCCATTTAAAACCGAAGCGCTGGTGTCAGTCGGATGTGGTCAGTGCGAAAGGTCTGGTTGAAGTTGCACGATTCCGTTTACAGGCCGACGACCCTCTGCGCCGTGCTGGAGCCAGAACCGTCTGCAAGACCATCCTACCAGGCGTGACCGGGTGGGGGGCGACACTCGTAGATTGGTGCGCTCGCGAAGCCGAGGCCTCGTAGATCGTCGTAATGTTTCGCGTGGCTGTCACCGTCAGTTCAGCGATGCGTTTGAAATGACAGCAGAGTCAGCGTCCACGGTGGCAAGCACGATCAGGAGAGCGAGCGGCTCGGTCCGTAACGCGATGCGTCTCAACAGATTGTGCCATGCTTCTCATTTTTCCTAGGTCTCAGCTGGCAGAGGCAAGCGCAGGCAACAGAACAGACATGTGGCACAGACAGGTGATTTCGAACGGCAGTCAGTGAAAGCAAAAATATGAGGCGCGCATGAAACAACGCCAATATAGTTTTGAAAATAGAATCGAGTCGTTGCGCAGAGTGGAACAGAGCTGCTGCATCTCATCGCGTGGCACCACTCTGCGTCTCTTCTTTTTGTCGGTACCAGCTGATCAGCCAGTCCGCGTAGTCTTAAGCGGGCGCCATCATCCATCCATTTAGTATTTATTTTGAAGCTACTTTGCCAGGAAATTTGAAACCTAGTCATGGCAGCACTTGTCTTACATCAAAACATCGTCAGCGTAGGGCCCCCGTCTTTTCCTTCCCAGCCACTTTCGATGGACCCGTCGTGCCCTCCGCAAGGCAATTCCCCAGCATGCGCAGGGCAGGTAATAGCAGAGCCTAATAGGACGCGCCTTCGCGCCATTCTACCGCGCCCAGGAGCGGGCGGCTGCAGCAAGAAGCGGCCCATTCCCGATGGCGGGCTGGCCGGACAGGAGCGCCCGCGGAAGCACCTCGTGACGCCATCGCCTCAGCTACCGGTGCCACCCGCTGGCCAAGGGAGCGCCGCGCTTGCTCCTCGTACTCCCTCTCCCATCTCCTCGTTCACCTCGTCGCTGGCTCGAGGTGCCGCGAAACTTCGCGGCATTCCTCCAACTTTCGCGAAGGCGGCCCCGGCAGTCCATGAAGCAACACGCCAGAAGCAGGAATTCACAACGGCGAGAGGGTCCGCGCTGGACTCTCTGTTAGCGGCGCAACCTACACCCCGCGCACTCCTGTCATCACCTCCCGCTCACAATTCTGCTCCGCTGTCCTTCTCCACGACTCCGCCGCCGCCCCTGCTGGCTCCGCGGGCGAGCTACGACCCGTTGGCGTTCGCGCGCGGCATGCAGGCGCTGCACGGCACGGCGCTGGGCCGCCTCATGCACACGGCGCCCGACATCGTCGTCGACGGAATCCCGCGCCGCCTGCTCGCGCCGTCGCCAGAGAGCACCGCAGCGAAACTCGGGCTACTAGCGCCCTGCGTGGCGCAAGTGCTGCAGCAGTCCGCCCCCGCGCCTACCAGTGCGAGTCAAGCAGCACCCAGTTGGCCGTTTCAGCCCACTACGGGTGCAGCGGCGCAAGCCGGAAACTACGCCACCTGGTCGTCCGCTTGCCCGAGCCCTCCGTCGCAGCTCCCTGTCGCATCGCCTACGACGAGCAGCTGTCCCGTAGCTTGGGCGCCACCCTCATCGCTGGTCGCGGCGTCGCAGGCTCCCCCGGGCAACACCGGTGCTGCAGCAGCCGTCACACAAATTCCCACGCTTCATGCACCCCCGTTAGCCCAGGTGTTCCCGCCAGCGCACGGCTCCGCCGAGTGGCCCGGAAGCACGCCAGCGACGTGCCAGCCCACGACGCGCGTGTCGCTCAGCGCGTGCAGCGACGACGGCACAACGGGCAGCCCCCAGGTGTCGCACATGCTTCCACCGCTCCTACCGTTGTCGTCGGGGTGCTTATCGCAACCCGCCAAGGAGCCCTGGCCTCTTGAGCGCAACCAGTCCGTCACCAGCAAACCCGCTATCCAGCTGAGCGCACGCGATGCCTGTACCAGCGGCGCTGCCGCTGCTCCCGCCGGCGCCCAGTGCCTTCCGCCTTCCGCCTCTCCAGAACAAGTTGCGGCCGTCCCACCTTCCAATGAGCCGACAGCGCGCGTGAATCGCGGCAATGGGCCCCCACAATCGCCTCTCCACACTTTCCTCACCTTAGCGCCTCCGTCTAAACAATCGCCCCTCACTCTCCCGACGAACCCGTCCTCCGCGGGCGCTGCATCGACGTACGTGGCGACTGTGGGGGAGGCACAATCGCTGGCTGATGATGACTCGCTTGCTGTAGAGTCCCTTCTGCTAATCCGTGCTCTGTAATTAGGCATTAGATTATTAACCTCGTTAAAGAATACAGGCATAATATTCAGTCTGTGCTTTTGTGAAACTTACACCAGATTAGCCAGACAGTACCCAGGCATCATACCGCCCTGATGAGCAAATCGGGAATATTGAATTATACGGTTATTCTTTATCCTTGATAGTTTTTCTATGCACCTTGTTTTGCCCCACCGGAAATTCAATTGCATGTTGACAGAGCAGTGTAGATATAATAATATGTAACGAGAAATATCAGGGAAAATTATTGCTTTTGATCGGTCGAATTCAATTTTCTCTGTACCCATGCTCAGATTCGAATTGTAAGTTTGCTTGCTGCGGCATCTTGAAACGCGTAAACGAGCGACGGTTGTGTTTCTCACTACTGTGGGGTACTTATCGCTAAACGCAACCGCCAAGCAGGCGACGGTTGGAATTACCTGCATGCACCCTCCCTCCGCCCTGATCTGACATCCACCAGCTGCAACGCGGTTCGGCTGGCACTCCTTTTCAGCCCTTTTGGCAGGCACCATGGTGGCATTCCACAGCGGCTGTTGCGCCGCGAGATACTCAGGTAGTAGTAGTAACGCCCCAGGTTGCCCAATAACTTCTTTCCAGAAAGGAGGTTGTCTAACCAGCTGTAACAGCTGCAAGAAAAGCCTTACCTTCGCACCAGCACATATTGACCTACTACGGGTTGGCCCCCTCCCTTGCATGCGCGCCACGCTTCTGTTGGTCATTCCATGCTTGCCCGTGCACCCCACGTTGCTCATAATAAAAGTCCGTCTGAAACTAGCAGTTGGTCGAAATCACGTGGCTTTTTCGTGCGCGTGATCGCCTCACTAGTCGTGAACGCCATCACAGTAAGCTAGCGCCGCTGTGAAGAGACAGAAACCGTCTGTGAAGCGACTCAACCATGACTTTGACCAAGAGATATCTCTTGCCGCTCGTGCTGGCCGTGGCGCTCGCCGTGCTGCTGCCGCCATGCGCGGCGGTGGAAGCACCCATCGTCACTGACCCTGCGGAAGGTGCGCCGGTCTTCGAGTGGCCTCAGGTCCCCGAGTCACCGCGGGTGCTGCCGCTCTGCTGCTCTTTGCCCTCTGCTCCTGCTTTTTCCTCTCTCCTGTGTTACTACCTAGTCCATGCGTGCCTGCTCCGTGTGTGCGGTTTCCTGAAGCACCTCTTCATCTCAGACAGGCTGTCTCATGTGCTGTCTCATGTGCTGTCTCATGTGCTGTCGCATGTGCTGTCTCATGTGCTGTCTCATGTGCTGTCTCATGTGCTGTCTCATGTGCTGTCTCATGTGCTGTCTCATGTGCTGTCTCATGTGCTGTCTCATGTGCTGTCTCATGTGCTGTCTCATGTGCTGTCTCATGTGCTGTCTCATGTGCTGTCTCATGTGCTGTCTCATGTGCTGTCTCATGTGCTGTCTCATGTGCTGTCTCATGTGCTGTCTCATGTGCTGTCTCATGTGCTGTCTCATGTGCTGTCTCATGTGCTGTCTCATGTGCTGTCTCATGTGCTGTCTCATGTGCTGTCTCATGTGCTGTCTCATGTGCTGTCTCATGTGCTGTCTCATGTGCTGTCTCATGTGCTGTCTCATGTGCTGTCTCATGTGCTGTCTCATGTGCTGTCTCATGTGCTGTCTCATGTGCTGTCTCATGTGCTGTCTCATGTGCTGTCTCATGTGCTGTCTCATGTGCTGTCTCATGTGCTGTCTCATGTGCTGTCTCATGTGCTGTCTCATGTGCTGTCTCATGTGCTGTCTCATGTGCTGTCTCATGTGCTGTCTCATGTGCTGTCTCATGTGCTGTCTCATGTGCTGTCTCATGTGCTGTCTCATGTGCTGTCTCATGTGCTGTCTCATGTGCTGTCTCATGTGCTGTCTCATGTGCTGTCTCATGTGCTGTCTCATGTGCTGTCTCATGTGCTGTCTCATGTGCTGTCTCATGTGCTGTCTCATGTGCTGTCTCATGTGCTGGCTCATGTGCTGTCGCCGCACCATTCTTCTTATCTTGTTGTCTACGGAAAATCTCCCCGTGTCCCATCCACTGACTCTCTGTCGGTCTCTCTCTTCTTCCTTCCTCTCCACCCTCCCCTCCTCCCCCGGCGTGCGTGCGAATCAGTGGAGGTGCTGTGGGCAGTGAGGGATGGCATAACGAACGCGGTGGAGTGGCTGCCGCACTGGGCGGACGAGTTTGACCCGTGTGGGCCGCTGGGGTGGTCGCCCGAGATCATCTGCAACATCTCTGATTCCGGCGGCGCCACCGTCACCTCCATGTATGCCACCCTGGCACCTCCATGCATGCCAGCCTGGCACCTCCATGCATGCCAGCCTGGCACCTCCATGCATGCCAGCCTGGCACCTCCATGCATGCCAGCCTGGCACCTCCATGCATGCCAGCCTGGCACCTCCATGCATGCCAGCCTGGCACCTCCATGCATGCCAGCCTGGCACCTCCATGCATGCCAGCCTGGCACCTCCATGCATGCCAGCCTGGCACCTCCATGCATGCCAGCCTGGCACCTCCATGCATGCCAGCCTGGCACCTCCATGCATGCCAGCCTGGCACCTCCATGCATGCCAGCCTGGCACCTCCATGCATGCCAGCCTGGCACTCCATGCATGCCAGCCTGGCACCTCCATGTGTGCCACCCTGGCACCTCCATGCATGCCAGCCTGGCACCTCCATGTGTGCCACCCTGGCACCTATGCCAGCCTGTCACGTCCATGTCTCAAATGTCAGTACCTGTGGATCAGCCATTCTCACCTTGTTCACCCTCCCTACACCTCCCCGTTCCTCTCCGCCCTGCAGCTCACTGCGTGCGGGTCTCGTGGGGTCGCTCTCGCCTGCAGTTCTGCGCCTCCCCAACCTCGAGTCGCTGTGAGTTCACCCCAGCCATCCTTATCCGTTGCAAGTCAGTGCATGTCTAAAAGCGATTTGAAGGCCTGATGTGTGTGTGCGTGTGTGAATGTGTGTTCCCCATGATCAACAGGGTGTTAGGGCAGGTCAGTTTCAACGCCACAGCACTGCTGCCAATCATCAACGGCCTCACACAGCTCAAACAACTGTGAGCCTCCCACCCTCCCTCCCCCTCCTCTTCTCCCCCCCTCTTCCTCCCACCTCCCCCCTTCCCTGCTACCTACCTCACGTGCCCAACCAATTTTTCACATCGTCATGCCATGCCCCATCATGCTTCTCATGTGCCCCACATTCCTCAAAACATTGTTTCCCCTTCTTTTCTCTTCCCGCTGCCCCCAGCGCGCTCATGTCAACGGCGCTCAACTACCGTGCCAGCCAGCTCGCCCTCGCCAACATGACGCGCCTGCAGGACCTGTGAGCTCCCCGCCCACCTCTCTGCTCTTATGCCCAACCTGTGAGCTGTACTGCCGAGCCTGTGAGCTGTGCTGCCGAGCCTGTGAGCTGTACTGCCGAGCCTGTGAGCTGTGCTGCCGAGCCTGTGAGCTGTGCTGCCGAGCATGTCATCTGTGCTGCCGAGCCTGTGATCTGTGCTGCCGAGCCTGTGAGCTATACTGCCGAGCCTGTGAGCTATACTGCCGAGCCTGTGAGCTATACTGCCGAGCCTGTGAGCTATACTGCCGAGCCTGTGAACTGAGCTTTTCCTGTGTGTTGGAACTCCACGTCGCTGACGCTCCTCTTCTCCTCCCTCCATCCTGTGTCTCCCCCATGCAGCACGCTGCAGCGCGTGGGCCTGTCAGGCCGCCTCAGTGACCTGCACCTGCCGCTCATGCCCTCGCTGCTGCGCATGTGAGTGGGAGAGGGCTACGACGGGAGCTCTAGGGGGGGCATTAGAGAAGGGGGGTTAATGGCTGTCGCTCACGCAGGGTGGCTGGAGGTGTGTGCGTGGTTTCGGCTCAAATGTGTGCATCTCCACCTTCGCTGGTTCCTGCTTTGAAGGATCGACATGAAGTGCCAACTCTCGCCTTTCCCTGCAACAACTACCCAACTCCACCAACCCCCCCAATGTCAACCCCCGCGTGCCGTGCAGTGACCTGTCAATGAACAGCCTCACGGGGCAGATCCCACAGGAGCTCGCTTCTCACCCCTTCTCCCACATGTGAGTCACATGGCCCTTCTCCCACATGCGAGTCACATGGCCCTTCTCCCACATGTGAGTCACATGGCCCTTCTCCCACATGCGAGTCACATGGCCCTTTTTTTTTCGCATGAGAGCCCTTGTTCTCTCTTGTGAGAGCCGCCATCGTCACTGGATCCTGATGCCCACCTGCTTTCTGTGCTCGATCGCTCTTATGCACACCCCTCCTCATCTCCTCTCTCCTCTCCTCCCCTCTCCCCTCGGTGTCTGCCCTCACCGCACCCCACGGTCCCACCAGAGACCTCTCCACCAACTCGCTCTCAGGCTCCATCCCGCCGGCGCTCGTCGCCTCGCCTGCCCTCGTCAACCTGTGAGCGCCTTGCTCCTCCTCCTCCCCCTCCCCCTCCTCCTCCCCCTCCCCCTCCCCCTCCCCCTCCTCCTCCCCCTCCCCCTCCCCCTCCTCCTCCTCCTCCCCCTCCTTCCCCTCCTCCTCCTCCTCCTCCTCCCCCTCCTCCCACTCCTCCTCCTCCTCCAACTCCCCTCCCCCTCCTCCTCCTCCTCCTCCTCCTCCTCCCACTCCCCCTCCTCTTCCTCCTCCTCCTCCACCTCCTCCTCCTCCTCCTCCCACTCCCTCTCCTCGTCCAATGTCTTGCACTATCTGTCTCCATAACGTTTTGCACTATCTGTCTCCATAACGTTTTGCACTATCTGTCTCCATAACGTTTTGCACTATCTGTCTCCATAACGTTTTGCACTTTCTGTCTCCATAACGTTTTGCACTTTCTGTCTCCATAACGTTTTGCACTTTCTGTCCTTGTCCTCGTTACAGCGTAACGTGTCTCCGATGGTTTCCAATATGACGCCACTCTTTCCCCCCCCCTCCCCTCTCCCTCACCTCCATCCTCCCCCTCTCCTCCCCCTTTCAATGGCAGCATTCTGTTCGGCAATGAGCTGGAGGGGGCCCTTCCAGACAACTTCACCACCGCCGCGTCGCTGCAGCACCTGTGAGGCCAGGGCACGGGCATAGACAGGATGCATGGATGTTTAGCAGTACGGATGTGAGCAATGGCTAGTATTCGGTTTCAGCTTCAGCTGCTTGCATTGTTGGCGCAGTCATCCTCTCTTCCTCCTCCTCATTCCCTTCTCTCCCCCCTCCCTGCGCCCATCCCCGCCACCACAGCGACCTACAGAGCAACAAGCTGACGGGGTCCATCCCCCAGTCCATAGAGACCACGCCCTCTCTCTACTACATGTAACGCCCTCTCTCTACTACATGTAACGCCCTCTCTCTACTACATGTAACGCCCTCACCTGTCGCTACCACCGCTGCTATCCTTCACATGTTGTTCCTTCATGCCATGCAAATCCCACGCTAAAACCGTGATTTTCCTCCCCCCCATCACATCAAGGTCGTGATCTGCTCTCCTCCCTGTCACGCTCCCCCTCTCCTCCCTCACCTACCTGGTCTGCCCCTGTCCGCTCGGTGTGTGCAGCGACCTCTCAAGTAACGGCCTGACGGGGGAGATCCCGCAGATCTACAAGGAGTGCTCCTTCGTTGAGCTCTCGCCCTTCCTGTGAGCCCCATCTCGCCCACCGCTCACCTCTGCTTGCACCTGCTAGCCCATGTACCTTGCACCAAGCTCCATGCACCAAGCTCCATGCACCACGCATACACCATGCCTGCACCCCTGTTCTACCTTCCATTTATCGTCTCAAGCATTCCAATCAACTCTTCTTAACCCCCACTCCCCATGCATGCGGGGCGGCAGCAACCTGTCGAGCAACGGGCTGACGGGGTACCTGCCGGGGAGCATCGGCGAGTACTCGCTGCGCAACGTCAAACATTTCGTACTGTCAGTGCCACCTCCCCCTCCTGCCCCTCTTTCAATTGCTCCTCATACTCTCACCGCCACCTCGTCCTCTTACTGCCACCTCATCCTCTCACTGCCACCTCATCCTCTCACTGCCACGTCATCCTGTCACTGCCACGTCATCCTGTCACTGCCACGTCATCCTGTCACTGCCACGTCATCCTCTCACTGCCACGTCATCCTCTCACTGCCACGTCATCCTCTCACTGCCACGTCATTCTCTCACTGCCGCGTCATCCTCCCACTGCCACCGCATCCACTCACTGCCACCGCATCCTGTCAGTCTCCCCTCCCCTTCCTTGCCTCGTCTCTCGTGCTGCTCCCTGACACCCATGCCATTTTCCCACCCTCCTCACGCCCTCGACTCACCTCCCTCTCTGCATCGCCCATGACCTGAACCCACTACCTATCGCCCCTCTCACGAGTGCAGGGACGTGAGTCACAACAAGCTGGAGGGAGACATTCCCCAGCAGCTCATGCTCTCGCAGTCCACTCTCCTGTAAGTGCCCTCTCCACTCCTCTCCACCACTTTCCATCGAACCTTCATGTCTCAATTGAGCATGTGTACCACCACCTGCCTGACTCTGCCTCCATCCTCACCGCCCTCTCCCATCCCATCCCGTTCCTCACCTTCCCTTGCTGCCATATTCTTCCTGCCCGACGTGCCTCCCTCCCTCCACTGCTGCTGCTCCCCATAGGTGCCACTCTCCTGTCGCCTCACCTGCCTTCTCTCCCTCCCCTCTCCCCCCCCTCCCCCCTTGCCAGTCTGGACGGCAACGCTGGTTTCTGCAACCACCCGGGGTACCCACCCTGCCCGGCCCGCGCCCCCGTCGCGGTTGACTCTACCACCTCAGGAGACTCGTCAAATGACTCGCAGCAGCAGCAGCAGCAGCCTTCATCCGGCCTTTCCCGTGCAGCAGTGGCGGGCATAGCAACAGCGGCAGTGGCAGGTGTGGCGGCGCTGGTGCTGGCAGCGCTGGTGCTGGTGCACATTCGGCGCGCAGATGGAGAGCGGAGGAAGGAGGAGGAGCAGGGGCTGAAGGGCAAGGGCGACCCCAGCGATGCTGTCAGCCTCTGGCTGCCTGACTCGGGGGTGGGCGGCAAGAAGGGCGCCAGCGGCAAGTGGACCTCTGCGGACTCTGGCGGCAAGTCCAAAGGTGACCCATCAACCTTAACCTCTCACTCGTGCTCGCTCCTCCTTCTCTCCACCGCTCTCCCCTGACTCCTGATCTTCTCTCCGTCCCATGGCACACACTCACTCTTCCATTCTCTCACATCGTCCCCCTCTCCTCCCTCCCACCTCCTGCAGTGTTTTCGGAGAAGGCAAAGAAGGCGGCAGCAGCGCGGCTGGAGGGGTCGCTGCTGTTCTGCTTGGACGAGCTGATCGCCGCCACCAACGGCTTCCACCCCACGGCGCTGCTGGGCCGGGGGGGCTTCGGCCACGTGTACCACGGCGTGCTGCCGGCACTAGACGAGGGCGAGGAGGGCGAGGCGGTGGCCATCAAGGTGCTGCACTGGGAGGAGGGCGATGCGGGCGCGGGCGGGCAGGGCGAGAGGGAGTACGAGACGGAGGTGGACCTGCTGAGCCTTGTGAGGCACCGGCATCTCGTGCGGCTGGTGGGGTTCTGCAGCGAGGGCCAGCACCGCATGCTCGTGTACGAGTACATGCCCAGGGGGAGCCTTGCACAGCACCTTCATGGTGAGATGCCTGCCCGCCTGACTTCCTGCCTGCCTGCCTGCCTGCCTCCCTACCTCCCTGTTTCATGCTATGGTAACGATTATTCGTTAAGCACACCCGTCCTTCCCTCATCACGCTCTGATATCCGCCCTTCCCTGCCCGTCCTTGCTTTTCCCACCCCCCTTGTTCTTCCCACTATTTCGCCCCCATGCCCCTACCCCAGGCGGGCAGGAGGCGAGGCTGCCGTGGTCAGCGCGGGTGCGCATCGCACTGGGCGTGGCGCGCGGGCTGGCGTACCTGCACGAAGGGTGTGTGCCGCGCATAGTGCACCGCGACATCAAGCCCAGCAACGTGCTGCTGGACGCCAACATGGAGGCGCGCATCGCTGACTTCGGCCTCGCCAAGATGCTGCACGACCATGAGCGCGACGTTGCCACCCGGGTGCGTGGCCAGGGAGAGAGAGCCCATGCCTGCACGTTGACTGTGCGCTGGCCGTGCACGTTGATTCTTGCTGTGATGCGCCACTCCCACACCCTACGTCTGCACCCCTCTGCAACCTTCCGCACAACTCTGCACCTGCCTAGTCTATGTGTGGAGCAGCTCTGACCACTTCACTCCTTACCTTCCACCCCCTGGCACCCAGCAGGTGCAGGGCACGTGGGGGTACGTGGCACCGGAGTACCTGGCGGGGGCGGCGGTGAGTGAGAAGGTGGACGTGTATGCCTTCGGTGTGCTGCTCCTCGAACTCGTCACCGGCCGTTCTCCCCTCGGCGACTCCAAGCTCGTCACCTGGGTACGCATGTGCACAAACACACATGTTCATTTACACATGTGCACTCACACCGCTCCTGCTTCAGTCTTTGCGCTGCATTCTTCTTAGAAGGTGACTGAGAGTATGCGTCCCTCGCTCTTCCCCACTGCCCCCCTTCTCCCCGGTGCTCCTCGCCCCACCCACCTGCAGGCGGAGGAGGTGGTGGCGAAGGGCGAGCTGGGCGCGCTGGTGGACCCGCTGCTGTTCGGGGACTACAACGAGGGCGAGCTGAGGGGCGTCGTGCACATCATCTTCCTCTGCCTGCACCACCACCCCGACGACCGCCCCGCCATGTCCCACGTGAGTGCCACCCTGCTGTCAGCGGCACCACCCACATACGTGTCATGACCCCTTGCTGCACTGTGCCACTGAACTGTACCCTCTCTCCCACCATGCTGCATGCTCTGACCCAAGGTTTCCCTGTCGTGTTGACTCTCCCATGACCCCCATATCCCTGTCATCTCTGCATCCCCCGGGGCCCTCACAGGTGGTGCAGCTGCTGGAGGGCGAGGCAGCAGCGCAGGCAGCAGGCGGGCAGATCACCCTGCCGCACATTGCAGTCTCCCTGCCGCAGTCCACCCTCCCCCACATGAGCCCTCCTCAAATCTGACCTGCAATTGTTCGCATGCGTGCGGGCAACAGTAGAAGGAATGATGGGCGGGCATGAAGTTTTCAGATGGGCTGGTATTCAGGTGTTGGATGTCTAACGAGCAAGAGGAAATTCATGCTGGATGCGGCTGAACAGAAATGGGTTGTTCTCTCATTCCTTCTAACGGTATTTAATTTCATTTCAATACCTTGAAGTTAAACGCAATGCGGCCATCTCTGTACTTTTACCCATAATAATAAAATTGCTTCCAGAATGTGATCTTTCATATCATAAGCGTAGGCAATTCCCGATGTGTGCTGCAGTAGTTGGGAAGAATGTACTCACTTGACAATATCATTTGCATAGAAAGCATCAGAGCAAGGAATGTATGGGCGATGTCGCTCAGCTATAGAATGAGGACAAAGAGTTGAAGCTCATTATTTCTTATGGCAAGGCCACAGCCTTGCCTGATCTTTTCTTCATCATGCCATCTAGTGTGAGGTCCCTTATTCATGCAATGTACTTTACCAGAGCACTAACTTTCAGCTGATACCGTATCACCCCGGATATAATTGTTAAGGTGAAGCCCTGCACGCGCCTGGTTTTGCGTGTAGCAGCCCTATGCGATGTAGTGAGGTTTCGCATACCGCATACCGGAGCTTCGGTATTCACCGAGTACACTCCAATAGTGCACTTCGGCATGCACTGTTCAACACTGAACCGAAATGGAGGGAAGTGACGACATTGCACAAACGAGTATGTGCAGCTGTCTGTTGCGAGCACCTGCGCAACTACTCGTGGGCAGGTAGAAAATGCACCTGACGGTATTTTCACCTGATGGTATTTTCATCTGGCGATGCCAACCTGGAACCGCATACTAGAGTAGGTGCTTGCACGTTCTCCTTGAACAACGTTCTTTATGGACAACGTTCTCGTAGAACGTTCTCACACACGTCACTATGTTTCCTATAAGGTTCATGTTGTATCTGTTGTAATCAATCAATGAATCAATTACTTTCCTTTCGTTACTGGATACCAAGCCTATTGCTGCATACCAAGCATACTGTTCTCCAAATACCAGTATCCGGTTTCCAGCAAGTCCGTACACGGAAAACTCGCACTTCACTCTCTGGTCGTGCAACTCTGCACCTAGGTGAGAAGAAACAAGGAATGGAATGACTAAGGGAAAGTTGGGTACAAAATGCAAACCCTAGAAAACTGTACCCCATATGTGCTACCCCACTATAGCCTACAGTAGCTCTGTCATATAAATCTGACACATCCCCATAGGCAAAGTGGGGGAGAACAAGGGGTCACAAGACCAGTCAAGCAAAGCAAAGCAAGCTCAGGGTGGATCACAAAGTCACCACGCATTCCGAGCACAAGTTCAAGGCCACAAGGCCAGTTCACATGCAGGAGTACATATATATATAAAGGCTAGACAAACAAGAGCAGGTATATATATATGTAACAGCACAAGCAAGGTCAAGAGGTGAGCAAGTGAGGCAAGGTAGGCACAAGGCCCAGCTGAGTACAGAAGCGCTGATGGTCACAAGGCGCAAGAGCCTTGGTGAAGATATCAGCAGTGTTGGCCTCAGAGGCCACGTACGCAAGACGCAGCTGACCACGCTGCTGCAGCTCATGAGCAAGAAAGTAGCGGAGAGCAATGTGCTTCGTTCTGTGCTCCAGTCGCTGCTCCCGACACAAGGCCAGCATGGCCTTGTTGTCTACGTACAGCACTGGAGGAGAACGAGGCAGCTCTCCGAGGTCAGTCAGCAGGTAGGTGAGCCAGCGAAGCTCCTGTGCAGCCATGGCTCCTGCGTAGATCTCAGCCTCACAACTGGAGCCGAGAACAGAAGACGAGCGGGTAGCCCGCCACGAAACAGAGCCGGAACCAAGGCTGAAGGTGTAACCCTGTGACGACCGCTGCGTAGCCTGGTCGTCAGCCCAAGAAGCGTCTGCGTGCCCAGTAAGGACCACTGGACTCTGCCCTCCAAGCACAAGCCCCATGCCCGACGTACTGCACAAGTAGCGCAACACCCTCTTCGCTGCAGCCATGTGCTCCGGTCTGTGTCTCCCAGGAGCAACATAGCGTGCAAGAATGCTAAGAGGGTATGCAAGGTCAGGTCGTGTGCAGGTCATCAGGTACATGAGGCAGCCAACAAGCTCTGGGTACGGGCCACTCGACTCTACGGACTCATCCGAAGGCAGAGCTGAGAGCGAGTGGCGAGTAGGCAGAGGAGTGGCCTGAGGCGAGGAGTACGTGAAGCCGAAGCGCTGAAGGACCTGCTGCACCATGTGTGACTGAGTCAGGGTAATGGTGCGGCGTGCTCTGTCCCGAGTGATCTGCAAGCCAAGGTAGCTGCGCAGTTCACCCAGGTCAGTGCACGTGTGTCTCTTCTGCAGCTCGGACTTCACGTGGGCTAGTCCAGCAGTGTCAACTGTGGCAAAGACCAAGTCGTCGACGTACACGAGGATGTAGAATGGCGGCAAAGAAGTGTCGGTGCGCAGAAACAGCGACGGGTCGGCAGTAGAGGGAGCAAACCCAAGAGCCGCAAGTGTAGTCCTCAGTGTGTCGTCCCACTCACGCGGTGCCTGGCGGAGACCGTAGACTGGCCGCCGTAGGCTCCACTGAGTGCCAGGAGGAAAAGACCCAGTGAAGCCAGGTGGGCGACGCAGCCAGATCTCCTCGTGCAGGCTGCCCTGCAAGAAAGCAGTGCTGAAGTCAAGAGAGTGTAGCTCGTAGTCACGGTGAGCAGCTACGTGCAGCAGTACCCGAAGAGTGGTCATCTTCGGGGTGGGAGAGAAGGTCTGAAAGTAGTCAACTCCCTGCCGCTGACTGAAGCCACGAGCCACGTAACGCGCCTTGAAGACAGGCGGAGAACCTGGCGGTCGCTTCACCCTGAAAATCCACATGCCACTGACGATCTTCGCCCCAGGAGGGGGAACAGCGTCAACGTAGGTGCCTGTGGACTTCCAGGAAGCCATCTCTGCGTCCATAGCTGCCTGCCACTGAGAGGAGTAGGGACCCTCTATCGCCTCCGCGTAAGAGCGCGGAGTCGGGATGTCAAGTGCATCCGGGTCTCCCTCAGGGGTAAGCAGTACGGACACGAGATGAGGTGAAGCAGCGGCCAAGCACTGGAACTCCTCCTGCCTGTCCTCAAGGACGTCCGTGCCAAGGTCACACTCACCCCCGACGGACGGAGGACAGACAGACTCAGACTCAGCAACAAGACTGGCGACGTAGTCTAGGCGACAGCGAGCAGCAAAGTCGACGAGCTCAGCAACTAGGGCAGACGCAGCAGTGGACTCAAAGGAAGGGTCAGTGACAACAGTAGCAAGGAGACGCGTGACAGCAGGACTGGCAGCACGAAGAGAGTCCGACTCCGGGTCGGCAAGAGCAGGAAGAGAAGACTCAGGAGGAGAAGGCAAAGGGGCACGCAGAGGAGCAGTGGACGGACGCAGAGACATCCGGTGCGTGCCAAGGACAGGAGGACGACGCTGACGTGAACCGCGACCACTAGTGCGAGCAACACGGACAGGCGACGCAGGGCGAGACGCAGGCTCACGACGCTCAGCAAGACCTCCAGTAGGACCAGTGTAGGGAGACGGAGCAGGCAGTGGGGAGGCCGGCTGTAACTGTAACTGCGACGGGACAGGCTGTGGACACTCTAAGGGAGGAGGAGGACCAGTAGAAGGCGGGAGACCAAGAACCTGCTGAAGGAGCGGAACGAAGTACGGCCGAGGCCGCGCGGCGACTCCAGACACAGGAGGGACAGCACCAGCACCCCCAGTGGCAGCACCAGCACCAGTAGCAGCTCCAGCTCCAGAACCCCCAGCAGCACCAGTAGTACCCCCAGCAGGACCGCCTCCAGGACCGACAGCAGTAGCCTCCGCGCCAACACCCGCAGCAACTCCAGCTCCAGAAGTACCCGCAGGTCCAGCAGCTCCAGTACTCCCAGTACGAGCACCTCCGGGACCCGTGGCACCAGCTCTCTCAGCAGCAACAGAACCTCCAGTACCCGCAGCACCTCCAGCTCCAGCAGCTCGCCTCCAGCGCCGGGCAAACCACTCACGCAGCTCCTGGGGAGAGAGTGGCTCCCGGCGAGAAGGAGCACCCGGAGAACCGCCAGGCACAGCACCACCAGGCTCAGCACCTCCAGGCGTAGTACCCCCAGGCTCAGCACCCCCAGACGCAGCACCCCCAGGCTCAGCACCTCCAGGCATAGCACCCCCAGGCTCAGCACCCCCAGACGCAGCACCCCCAGGCTCAGCACCCCCAGTCGTAGTACCCACACGCTCAGCACCCCCAGAGTCAGCACCCACACGCTCAGCACCCCCAGAGTCAGCACCCCCAGGCTCAGCACCCTCAGCAGCACCAGAGTCACCAGCGACCTCGACAGGCTCAACAGCGTCTACCTGGGACACACCTGAAGGGGCAGGACCCTGAGGGGGGAGGGGGTCTACCGGGGGGGGACCTGGTACAAGGAAGAGCGGTGGCGGGGGGAGGGACGGAGTGCGGTAGGGGAAGAGGCGGTAGTAGGGGACCGACTCATCGAACGTGACGTCCTGGGAGGACAGAACACGGCGAGAGGTGGGGTGGTAGAACTGCCACCCTGGGGCGTCAGGGGGGAAACCCAGGAAGACGCAAGGAGCAGCACGAGGGGACAGCTTGTCCGCAGACAAGTCGCGGACAAACGCCCGAGATCCCCAGACACGGAACGCAGACGCATCGCCAACCTTCCCCGTCCACAGCAAGGCTGGGGAGGTCTCCGGCATGGAGACCCTGGGCTGAAGGTTGATCTGATGCGCCGCGTACCGAACCGCAAACGGCCACAGAAAATGGGGGGCAGCCGCATGCATCATGGACGTACGGGCGACGTCCATGACCATGCCAATGCGGCGCTCAGCAATCCCATTTTGCTGTGGAGATTCCGGAAGCGTGAAGGTCTGGCGGATGCCTCGTGCACGACAGTAGGCTCGCAGAAGGCCAGAGGAGAACTCTCCGCCTCTGTCAGAGT